TAGCATCCGGCTCTAGTGGAAGGTGTCCCTGCCCGTGGCAGGGGTTGGAACTGGATGAGCTTTAAAGTCCCTTGAACACAAACCAGCCTGGGATTCTGTGATTCTATGACCAGCTTGTAAAGGTGTTTCCAGGCTCTCATAAGCATCACATGCCATGTTAAAAAAATCTGAGTGCACCATAACAGGACAGAACAGAACATGCACCAGAACATTACAGGAAACCAGATCCCAGCAAACATTAATTTCTTTTTTAACTCTTCTATTTCAGGTGAAGCAACTCTTGAATTTGTTGCTTTTGCTGAAGAATCACAGCCAGAAGAACAACCTCCTGGTGAACTCGCTCCCTCCACAGCTCTCCCAGACAGCCCCACAGGTTCATAGCCTGTCTGCACAGCTCCCAGCGAGCAGCACACTGACTGACCCAAGTTGTCAACATTCACTTCTGGATAAATTCCCAAAGAAAACCTTATTTTCATAAGAAACTCATGTATTAACTCTTCCTTAATCTATTTATTTTCAAGCACTCGAGCCACACGTTTTTAAAAGCATTCAAATGACAGCTTCCCTTTTCCCAGGGGACCACTCCATTTAGCTGAAACCAAGTTAACTGAGCAGTGGCTGTAGTGTGAAAACGCCCCCAAATTCTGTGCTGTGTTTACAAACTGGCCAAACAAATACCTCTGTGTTAAGTCCAAAACTAAATGTTTGTTTTAGGCAAGTGGAAATCTCTCTCCATACAAAGAGCAAGCTATTGACAAACAGTAAAACCCCAACATTTTACAACAACAAAGCCCTTGACTGTTATCCTGCTCCATCCCTCCCCCCCAATCTCAATGCTGCTCTTAGATCGAGCCTACACAGGGAGTTGTGCTCCCGTTTTAGTCACCATCAGCACAACTGCATCTGTGCAAACCCCAAATGTAGGGCACAAAGCTGTAATTGGCATCGCCAGGAAGCCTCAGCCACAGGCAGGGAGTAACAAGTCAACTGCACAAGGTCTGGGAAACTTGTCAGGAGTCTTTTTAATAAGCACCAGTAAAGAGAGAAATAAGTAATTGATGTCCGAGGTAACAAACAGCTCAAGTGAAAGAAAGAGTTCTTAAAAAACTTCTGGGTTTGGTACCATTTGAAAATTGGAACATATAATACAGAAGCAGTAATTCCAGGGAAAAAAAACATATATAAAATGTTGCATTTTAAATTCAGTGTAACAGATACCCAAGAGAAAAATGAACCACCAGGACCAATCTCCCTCTGCTCCAGAGATGAGGATATCGATGAGAGACAAATTTCCCCAAGTTTAGGAATTCTATGCAGTTCTGTAATTAGATCAAGTCCAAAATTTTCTCAGCAAACATGCAAAAATCACCAAAGAAGTTGTGAAACTACCACACTCGTTACTATCGTTTTATTGGTAGGGGAAGCACCAGACAGCTGCATGCAGAGCCAAACCACCGAACTCAGAACATTCACCCATCACTACTATCACTGTTTCAAACCATGAAATAAAAAAGAATCCAAGTGCATTCAAGTACTTGACCACCCAATTTCAGTTACACCCACCTTTAGGTAAATCCCTGATTACATTTGTTTGTTCATTATAAAAGGATGAGATTCCGTGTTGGATTTAAGAGGAGACTGCAATGGAACGTGAGTTGGCAGTGGAGGAAATGGGTGACGTACCTGTCTCACTGTCTTCACAGGAGGTAAGGGCTTAGGGAAACTGGGATTTGTGTTATCAAATACAGACATCTAAAGTGTTACCTCATCAAGAAATTAATGCCACCAGTGTGTACCAGCTGCAAAGCAAAGGCCAGTCTGTTAGTGCTGCAAGCTTTCAGCTGGGAGCTCTCAAAATGCTGATGCTAAATAACCTGTGGTCCCAAAATGACTGAATCCCAAACACGCTCCACTCTTAGGGAGCCTGGGATAAGTTGTTCTTTTGCAGGAGTAAGTGCAGACCCCACTTGCAGCAGTTCCACACTTTGCTGTGTACATTGAAACAAAACTCCTCCTTTGAAAAGCTTTTCATCCAAATGAGAGCACCAGCCTCCACTCACACACTTCTGGCTTATCATCACCAGAAGTCTCAGCACCAAAATGACATGCTGCACTGCCTCTGCTTTTCAGTCCCTGGGCTGGCTGGCCACTGGGGAGTCTGAAACAGATGTGCTGTGCTTGTGCTTTGAGCTTCCTCACAACAGCCTCTGTGGAGACGGCAGCAAGGAGACCTACAAGGTCTTGGTTTAAGTAGACACCAAAATATTTTTTAAAGCAATGTGTCTAAACACTGATTTTTTCACTAATGAGTAACCCCCCCATTACTACAGCTGATATGTGTGTCATCACCTTCACAGGGTCTAACCCAGACCTGTGCAGTTCAGGAGGGCTGCAAGGGGCTTCTGACGAGCTTTGGAATGGACCTTTCACAAGGCATCTTCTCAAGTAAAAGAATAATTTAAAAAGCCTTTTCAAGTACAGTTTAAAGTAAAGGTAACTGACCCTATCTAAGAAAATAAGAACCATACCTGCAGAATTAAAATGGGAATGGGATTTTGAGGGATACATCGTTATGGAACACTTGAAAGCATGTAACAAAACTGCAATACAAAAGACCATTTCAATGCCTATTACTGAAAACCAGTCGGAGAACAGACCGCAGCCCCTAGTAACACACCTAAGCAATCCACATGTCCAGATAACGATTCCCAAAAGTTACAGCCTTTCCAAACAACAACTAACAGTTAGAACTGTCTGTTTCCTTGATTTTCCCAACAGCAGTTTCTTTATGCAGGGGCTTGCTTTTTCCTTCTCTCATTTTGTTCTGGCTCAGCGCGGCTTCAGACATCTGCTCCCCACTGGTGGACATGGGATCTAAAACCACCACGGATTCTGCCTCACTGCTAGAAGCTTTTCTTGTGAATTCTGGATGACTAGTTGATCTAAAGGGAAAAGAACACATATATTTATTTAAATATATATATTTATATAATACAGAAAACAGTTCACATATTTAGGAGAAAGAATATAAATATAGGGAGGAACATTTCTATTCTTAGTAGCACATACAACCAGAACAGGTCTACTCCACTAGTAAATAGATCCGTAGATTTAACAGCTGTGTCATACAGAGTGTAGTGCACAAAAATACCCCTCCTGAACCACGGAAGGTGCTGAACAGGAAAAATGAACTCACAAAGCACTGAGTAAACCCTTAGACTATGAAGTAATCAGTTTAAAGACAGTCTGTAAGAATTTATTCTCCCTCTGCTCATGGGTTTAGGTTCCCCCACATCCAACAGAGCAGCTGCTCTCAGGGGAAATGCTACCAGTTCCTAACGGTCCTGCAGCCTAAAGCACGGCTGCTTCTCCACAGCTCCATCCAGAGCAGCTTGCACAGGGCTTTCACTACTACGTTCTTCCCTACCACAGGGAGTAGCGGCAGCGTAACCAGATCTTCCATGTGGCTCAGCACCAGCAGGCTGCCAGTGGTCTCAGCAGGAGCAAGTGCGAGTGATTTCTGAACATTCACCTGCTGCATTTGCTGAAACAGAGGGTGCAAGACCTGCATTCTGTACTGCACAAACAGGGCTATGCCTCGGTGCCTTGCCGGGCAGGGATTCCTGCAGATAAAAAGCCCTCTGAGCAAGGAGAGGAAGGAAAGGTCAGAGGCACCAGCGCTGTTTGCTACAAATCACGCTATAAATACTAAAAGCACTTGTCTGTATTCAAAAGCTTTGTCCTAAGTGTTGCAAATATGCAGGCAAATCCTTACATCAGCTAAAACACACCAGCAGAGAGTCATAGAATGGTCTGAGTTGGAATAAAGCTCATCTATTTCCAACCCCTTTGCCACGGCAGGGATACCCTTACAGCAAATACTGAGCAAGCCACAGATGGGAGGGCAACTCAGGCATGTGCTTCCTGTGCCACACTGTGCTTCCCAAGCCTGCTGGTCCCAGTGGCAAGGGTGTGCAACTGGGCATGCTTAGAGCAGTGCCACGCTGTGCCCTCCTGCCTGTCCTCGGGCAGCACCACACACACCACAGTGTAGGTGTCTACACCAACAGCCACCCCATGGGCAGGGACGGTCCTGCACACATCAGTGGGTGTGGAGCTCTGCTCTCCCCAGCAGCCTCATTGCAGAGCTGCCAAATACAACTGCATCTGCTAGTCCAGAGCCTTTTGTTTTCCATTTTGCTCTTCTATTTATTCTTTACACTTTCCATGCTTGCTGCTACGAAACATCCTTCCACACTGCTGCGAAAACATACTCGAAAGGAAAAGAAGAATCAACTGGAGGGCAGAGAAAGAAATTCAGCTACTGGATCCATCTGCCATGCACTGCCCTTTATTGTGACAGTCTTTGTCCTAGAGAAAATGACAAAGCAAAAAGAGGTCACCCCATGCCACAATTAGAGCATGGGGTGGGGAATGCGCTGGCTCCCACCTGACGGGAGAGGGGAAAGGCACAGGTTAAAACCAAGTGCATAATGACACAAACAACAGTTGCTGCCCTTTCCATTTCAGACAGGATTTACTCGGCTCGCCGCTGGATAGTGCAAATGAAATTCCATGTTCAAGCTTTAATGACCAGAATTGTCTCCAACATTAGAACTTTGGTATAAGTTAATTAATGCAGAAATGGGCGCTAATAGACACAGTTTCACGCTCATTTGATTATCATCAGAAGGCAGTGATTTCATAAGGAAAATAATGCTTATTTTATGCAAAAGTTGCCAATCATTCCAGAAAATACAAGGCGGGGTATTGGGAACCCTACAGCAAATTAAACTTTTTAAAGCAGTGTAACCAGAAGAGGGTTATTTTTAAAAGTGCTACCTCTGAAAAGCTGATTGCCCAACACTATCAAAATGGTCAAAGCCATAAATGCCAAGTTCATTTTTATTTCACTTTGGAGGTAACTATCTTTCAAATCCCAACAGCTGGACTATTTAATACAATCTGGTGAATCAAAGTATAATTCTTCAGTGGGCTCAGCAGCGGGGAGTCTGCATTAGTGTATGGCAGCATTCCAACAACTGATGCACGGCCAAGCGCGCTCAAGTCTATTTCATTCCTAACAAAAATGGATAAAACTGCAATCATATTTACCACCTTCAAAGGACAGAAAAATGAAAGATGTCGATATAAAGTAGTTTAATGGAGAAAACCAGTGATTAAATCAGCGTTTCCAGCATAAAAATACAAATTACTATTCAGACTTTGTTGTACTACCATTTGCTCCTTCAAATCCCTTACGGCACCCGCCTGACAGTGATGCTGTTACAGCTGAGGTGCTGTTAAAGTCATTAACCCTGTGTACCAGGTGTTCCCAGTTTGCTCCTTTCCAACAGTTTGTCACAAGCAGAATGCAGGTGGAGTGAAGTTCCAGTGCAAGAATGAGCACCATTTTGGTGCTCCCTTTCAATAACCGGGTTTTACTGCTATGGATAAAGCTGGGGAAAGCAATTAGAGCAGACACAGTTAACCACAGCTTTGAACAGTTACAGATCTGCCCAGCCAAGGTATTTGCATTTAGTTCTATGCAAAACTCTTCCCTCATTACAATTGTTAATGCTGTTATCAGTATTCCTGTTACTTGTCCAACTATGTATTTAAGCCAGGAATGGAGAATGCCGTTCTACTCTACCCATTCATACATAGATGTTCCTAAGTCTGCATGTATTTTTATGACTGAACACATAAAATCTGTACTGATTTAGATGATAAATGCATTTTAGGTTAATCACCTGGGGTACGCAAAGTCCCATGCAGTGCAGAGGACTGCTTGTGATACACGAGTATCAAACTCTTCTATTTCTATAGTCACAGAGGCTATAGAATGTATGAAAATAAAGGGTTACTGACGCCTGATGGGCAGTCTGTGAGCTGGTACTGCTGTGCCCTTAGTAAATAATTCACAGCAGGAGTGCAAAAGGACAAAGTAGGGCTAGGATTGTCAACTGAGACTTGGAGTTTCTTTGTTTCCTCTGGTTAATGTTATAATCTTGGTATGATTTAACCTTGCTCAGTGCTATGCCTGAAACAACACCTTCCACTATGTCAGGTTGCTCCAAGCCCCTGTGTCCAACCTGCCCTTGAACACTGCCAGGGATGGGGCAGCCACAGCTTCTCTGGGCACCCTGTGCCAGCGCCTCAGCACCCTCACAGGGAAGAGCTTCTGCCTCAGAGCTCGTCTCAGTCTCCCCTCTCCAGACCTGGCCCAACCAGCCCATGGCGCCGGGTGAGCTCCTGTGCAGGACAGCAGGTCCCAGCAGGCAGGGTGACACCACGTCTGTCTGTGCCATGCCAGACAACAGGAGCAGTGACTCTGTTTTATCCTCCATCATAAACTTGTACTGAGGACAGAAGTGAAACTGCAGATGTGGTTACTAAGTATTTCAGAGTTCTTAACAAGGCAGGGAAATCAGACAGGCAGGACCAAAGCCTAACACCAAACAGTAGTAAAATACCCACCAATTCCACGTCCTCAAAGTCTTCAGTGAACAAAAAACTCCATCACGCTACAGTATTTGTCAACAGGAAATTACAGAGAATACAACGGGTGAAGTGAGTGAGTTAGGCTGCTGGTTCCCTCCTCTGATTTTTAGGTGCTGATCAGCAAATTCATTGACACGAAGAGGCTCAGAGAGCTTCTGCCTGCACTGAGGGAGCCCACAAGAAACACACTCTAAGGAAAACATCTCACGGCATCTTTTCAAACACTGAAAACTGAGCTGACCTCAAACTTCCAGAACATCCCATTGTTTCCCTCATCTGTTGTTCACACTAAATTGCCCGTGTTCAAGCTGCAGTGGCAAACCTCTGCAGTGGTGTCTGGCTGGGGCTGAGCTGCTTCCCGCAGAGCCGGTGGATGATGCAGGGCTACTAAGATTACAGCCAGGAGAAGGAGGACAAATCCTTTAATTGTATAAAATCATCAGATTAAGACTAACCCTCTCTGTGGTTCACTCTGTGAGCAGAGAGTTCTGCAGCCCAGAAACTGAATGTTTACAAGGTGCTGGGAAAAAAACAATCCCAAATCCCCAAAAGCACCAGGGCAGAGCCAGACACACCTTCGCCTTCTGCATCTACACACCACAGGGGGCACAGGAACTCTCCTTGCTCACAATGGAACTAAATTGTCACCTATTCTCTTCTAAGCGATTGTCACCAAATTGCACTCCTGCTGGACTGAACATTTGGGAAGAGATCTGCAGATGACCTGAATGCTGAGGTAAGGCCTCAATTTTTTACACATCACTGATGTCTTCCCCCTCAGCACCCCCTCAGTGAAACTTGACACATTCCAAATCATCTGCTGAATGGCTTCAGACCTTTCTTCTAACAGTCTCCTGCACTGAAACAACACCTCTCCTGGTGGTTCCAACCCCCCAATTTCTCATCTGAATTAGTTTCTCTGAGCTACTATCACTTAGTTTGATTACAAGAATATTTCACTATTCACCTAATTCATCACGTCCAGGTTGGACGGGGCTTGGAGCAACCTGCTCTAGTGGAAGGTGTCCCTGCCCGTGGCAGGGGTTGGAACTGGATGAACTTTAAGGTCCTTTCCAGTGCAAACGAGTGTGGGATTCCATGGACCTGTGTTTACTGATGTTACAGCCCTTTTCCACAACCCCTCCTCAGGCAACTTGTAGGAGCAGCCCAGAAGTAACCACACGACGTCCTACTTCAACCAAAGCCTGAAATTCCTTACCCAGTGTGTGTGTATTTGGGTTGGATTGTCACTGATTTGGGGGTAGGGAGGATCCAGGGGTTTACTCAATGAGCTGACTCCTCTCTGGGCATTGTTCACAGATACTTTTTCAAGACTGGGTCTTTTTCAAAGCAAACCTCCTTTCTCTGTGAGGAGGGGTATGCTCAACTGTTACTCACTGTGAGTAAAGAATGATGAATGGGGCTGTTCACATTTAAATGTCTGTATTACCCCCTGCTTAAGATTACAAGCCTTCGGAAATGGATGTTGCAGCAAAGAGAAATAGCTGATGCACAGCTATTCCTCAGGTTTTCTATAGGAAGCTGTACATTAAAAAGCCAGGTGAAGAAAGAGGAATAAACATGCACTGCAAGAGATCTGGTCACGATGATAATCTGCAATCCTCTGCCACGCTATAAACAGTTTGTTTAGCTGCTGCAAACAGTCAAAGCGGGTCACCCCTTTGTCAGACTGCAAGGAATTGCAAATGATGAGGCAGCTGCATCCTCTTACCTCAGGTATGAATAAGGAGAAGAGCCACAACAAAGCTTTTGTGTGCCTTTGGCACTTAGGGTACCTGTTTGTTTAGTTAACCCAGCCCACTCAGGGAAGCAGAGGTACAAGATGAGCAGGCGTGCAGGGGGAAAGAGCCTGTGCTGCAGACCAGGGTCCTCATAACACACGCTGCAGGGGGTTATTCACTTAACTAGCTCTAGTGTGGCCCCTGGGCCTGCCACTACGGTCTGCATCACATCTTCTGGCTTAGCTTCACTCCTCCACTAAGTCCAGGGATCCAGTTTATGCACTGAGAGCAGTGCCGGATACAAATCAAAGCATGGCAGACGGGGATCAGAAGTGCTCTGCTGATCCAGACTGAACTGCAGGTAGAGATGGACCCAGGGAAGCCCAGAACACTGCCTAACCACAGAGCCACGCTGTCAGACAAATGAACTTCCTTCTGATGTCTGCATCACATCAGATGCTGTTTCAAACCAGCACTTGCACACCCTGGAGTCCGGAGGCTGCTTCTACTGACCTCTGCTGCAGACGGTACCTGGCAGAAAGCAATTGCACTTCCATGTGGTATGAAGCATCTGGCTTATCTCTGCTCCTCCCTGCCAGCCCAGCAGCAGAAGAGGAGAGCCCCAGCCCCTTCTCGCTTGCTGGAAAACCATCCTCAAGGATGAGCCTTTCCAATTGATCAGGCTTACACCAATGGCTGGCTGCAAAGCAGCCGTGCAGCGCTACAGAATCTGGCCCACCACATTTGTTTTAAAGCTTTAAGCAGATAAATTAAAGTGAAATGTGTCTTTCAGGATGTCACTGAATAGGCAAGCTGAGAAATAAATTGAGCTTCACATACGCTTTTATAACATAACAACTGTGACTGTCAACACAGGATCCTTTTCACTGTCAATTCACCACGCATTCTGCAAGACCTTGGGGCCTGCAATTATTTCATTTCCTTTCTTGTAAATGCAATTTCCACTTAGTTTGGTGGAATAAAGGTAGACAAAAGGGGGCAGGAGTTGCTGTTTTTCTGATTAAGGTTATCTGCTCAAAACTGAAGAAACCCCCAAACTACAAACACAGGATTTTTCAGGAACAGCCTCACCTTTCTGTCAGGGTAGCAGTTCAAGAAAACACAATGGCATTATTCCTGCCAAATTAACTGTTGAACCAATCTTCATCTTTCTCATTAAATTAAAGTGAAGATCATCTTTCTTTTAAGAATGCTCAAATGAAATCAAAGGGGAAAATACACGACTGGAAAAGGCATTCTGCTTTTAAAACTCGGTGTGAATTAAATAAAACTGCAGAGCACAAAAGGAAATTGGGCTCTTTATCCATCCAAAACTAAATGATAAAAGTACCTGCAGGAGAGGAAAGTAAATATCACCTCATAAAAATAGATGTGAGCTGAATTTCCAGCTCATTTGTCGTGACTTGCTCCTTTGATCCAAGCAATGGAGACTTGCTAGAATTGGTACTGGTGGTATTTTCTTCCTGCCAGAGCAGGAAATCAGAGGTTTAATTAGCCATGATTACAATATTCTGCCAATCCAATTCGTCTCATCTCCTTCCTTTTCTTGCAGTGACAAACTGACAAACAACCTGGCAAGGGAACTGAAGCAAGTGCACAGCCCAGTTTCAGAAGGAGCTTGGTATTGTTGTAAAACAAACCCATCCTCCAGGGGATCTGTCTGAAATAAGTATTCCTGAAGCAGGTTTAACTCTTTGATGCTTTACTGGCACCTTGGGTCTTCAGTCTGTCACAACAAAAGATTCTGCTGCCCAACTGTGCAAATGCAGCACCAATTGTATGTTGGTTTGGGGGTTTTTGGAGAAGTCATCTTGAGATTTCAAGCTAATTCAGGGCTTTTACCAACAAACTTTTAAGAATAATAGTCAGGACTTGCTTGGGTCCAACAGGAACTGCCCTGAACACCTACCAAAATCAAGGAATCATAGAATGGTTTGGGTTGGGAAGGACCTTAAGATCATCCAGTTCCAACCCCCTGCCACAGGCAGGGGGACCCCCAAAAAGACAATGTCGCCCCACGCGTCTGTCCAGCCTGGCCTTGAACACTGCCAGGAATGGAGCACTGACTTACATGATTCTCTTTTTTAAGATACAGTCCTAGAACTGCCTTTTTTAAATGAAGAGTTAACTACAGAACTATCATCACTCTTCAGGACATGGGAAAAACACTCAACTGTGCTACTCCTCGTAAAATCCTGAGTTCTTTTCTTGGCACAGAAGGTGAATGGTTTTTTTAAAGAACGTTCACAGATTTTACAGGGAAGGAACTTTATCACAGAGAATTCAATTTCTACCTCCACGTGAGACTTCAGGTTCTTTGCGGAGTCAGTGGTAACCAGGTGCAGACTGTACATGTACCCTCTTAACCAAAACTGGTATTAAATTTATGTTACATTAAAAATATAATAGAGTTTATTTCCTAATAATAAATACATAATAAAGTGGCTGCCCCAGCCCTGGCAGTGTTCAAGGCCAGGTTGGACACAGGGGCTTGGAGCAACCTGCTCTAGTGGAAGGTGTCCCTGCCCATGGCAGGGGGCTGGATCTGGATGAGCTTTAAGGTCCCTTCCAACACAAACCAGTCTGGGATTCTATGAAATCACTTTTGAAATGCACCAACTAAACAGGTCTGATACTAAAACACATCTAGAGATCCATATTCTACTTACTGTAGTGTAGGCTTGGAGCCTGTGTCACCCTTAAGCTGGTTAGAGGCGGGACCTGAGTCAGGAACTTGGGAACTGAATTGCATCTCCAGGTCTTTCTTTTTCAAGGCTGTTTGTGCAGCACTGGCTCCAGAACCTAGCACAGGCAGAGATTTTGATTCTGATGTGGCCAAGGTTCCAGTGGGACCTAAAACCCAAAGAAAGTTTAATGCTTCTGTTGTCCTGGTCTACAAACAACACATAAGCACAGTAGAATTCAAGCTAACTGCAGAAATCAGAATGGAGTTTTACCAAACAGCATCCAATGCATGGAGAGGATCGAAACACTGTATTTGCAGCTTCTGCTCCCCCCACCAAAATTAACCCTTTTCTGTACCACAAGCTGGGCTTGATACATAAACTTGTGCACTCAACCCCTTTACCTTCTGGGATGGTAAGTCCCATTGCTCACCCAGCACTAACAAGTCACAGCCCGGCAGTGCTCTCCCAGCTGGACGTGCAGCTGGAGCAGGAACCATCCCAATGTCACAAAAGCCTCTTCTCACGCTAGTGAGGACTCAGTAAACTGTCTATGTAGTCCAAGCTAAAACCATTAAAACCAGCCACACCTGCATCGACTGTGGCATGGGCTTACACTTGGCACTGACTGTTTCTAATCAGGCAGAAGGTCAACAGATGATAGAAAAGCACAGATTAAAACCAGCAGACCCTTGCTCTGCAGAAGAGACTGGTTCAAAATCAGTCCTAAACCCTCATTTCTCTGGTTACCATTACTTGTTTCCCAGTAGGCTCAGACTACTAACTCCAAAAGCAATGTCTGAGCTCCAGGCAGGACAGAGGAACCTGTGTCTATAAGGCTGTGTGCGCAGAAAATCCTGACAGAGGCATCTCTTGGAGAAAATGGGGATGGAAAGCGGCAGGAGCGATGGGGAAGTGAGTCACTGTAGAGGTAAGCAGAGTTCTCCAGAATGGCTGAAATGGCAATGGTCTGGAAGAGAAAGTAAAGCTTCAAGAGTCACTTAATGCAGGGAGAGGAAGAGGACTACAAAGGAGTCCAGCCACTTACTGCCACTGTCCTGGTCTGTGGTCACTTTCCGGCGCCGCAGCACTCGCTCCAGCTCTGTTTCACTGCTGTCTGTTTCAAGGGACTTCAAGCTTCGGGAACTAGTGGACTTATTCAGTGTTTCCTACAGCAAGAAACAGGCATGAGAAGCTGAGGACACACTGTGCCTTGCCAAACACCCCTTATGCACCTTTTAAACAGCAGAAAAGCAACTGCAGTTCTAGATCAGGGTGCAAAACTCTTCCTTTAGTGCATGAGCGAGCACCTGGGGACTGGCTCTCCACTCCTCCTACTACTTGGATTTCCTGACGCAGGGATTAACCATACTTACCTACATATTAGAAGGTTGATATCAGGCTTAAGATGCTCTGGATCATTAATGAACAAATTCTGATGTCTGCAGGAACTGCCAACTGCCTCCATCTTAATGGTTAAAGGGTCTTATAGAAAACCTCCTACAGTATTAGCATGCCCAGAATTAACTTTGATTAGCAAAATGCCAAAGATCCATATTTGCACGCTCTCTGTTTTAGCATGGTCCTGTGCTGCTGCATCCTGGTGTGTACACATATCTGCAGAAGTCAGTGCATACCAGCTGCAGCACGTTATTATATCCTGGATCTAGCTGCTCTGCCAGAACCCTCACCCTGTGTCCTTGTACTTCATGTGGACGGAGCCAGATCTCAAGCTGAAAGTTTTTTAAACATAGAATAATTGAGTGGTTTGTGTTGGAAGGGACTTTAAAGCTCCTCCAGTTCCAACCCCCTGCCATGGTCAGGGACACCTTCCACTAGAGCAGGTTGCTCGAAGCCCCTGTGTCCAACCTGGCCTTGAACACTGCCAGGGATGGGGCAGCCACAGCTTCTCTGGGCACCCTGTGCCAGAGCCTCAGCACCCTCACAGGGAAGAATTTGTTCCTAATATCTAACCTAAATCCACCCCTACATACAGAATACATGTTCCAAAACATGTCTGACTCATAAAGTGTTTTTCCAGGGACTAAATAACATATTCTTAACATCTTTTGTTGACAAGTACGTAACAGCTGAGCAGGAATAGCAACTGACAACAGGAAATGGCATCACAAGTTGCAAAAGCTGTGCTGCTTGAGGATCCCAGCAAAGTAACTCATTCTTCATCCCTGCCCCAAAAATTCAAGTATTCTCTTTGGCAACTATTTGAACTTTAACTGAGCAGGGACGTTATTATCAGCAGCATGCTCCAGATCCCTACAAACATACACATACCAGAGCAACTTGAGCAACGGAGTCTCTCAAACTCTGCAATTTACAGAGCATAAATAAGGTTTGTGTGTAACAATTAGATGGAGGTCTATGTGAAATGCATAATTAGCAGAGTAACAACAAACGTTTACTCCCTCACATCCCACCCCCATGTTTGTTGTCTGACTGTGCGTAATGATCAGTCTCAAGAATAGACTGGAATTGGATTTTATACAGTTTGTCTCACACTGCAAATATCCTGAAGGGCTCAAAAGCAACGAGCCAGATACAGAAGGGCAGTGACTGCAGGTTTCTCTCTGCTCCCTTGTAAGTACATAATCGATCAAGTCTCCCCTGATGCCTGTGGTACAGTGTCAAAGACATAAAACAGCTATTAGAAAAGGAAAGGACCTTCAGCAGGACCCTTCAGCCCAACCCTCTCTCGTCCAAACAGCTCACTACACATCAAATCAAACTACTCCTGTAATTACAGAGTTCTATTTTAAACATAATCTCCGTGTGGCATTTTATTCCTTTTCTATTTACCTCCACATTTAATTATGTGTCCCTCTAATTAGAGCCCAGCATTAAGGCCTGGTGGCTCTCTAGGTCATTTCTTCCCTTTCTCCCCTGTTTTCATGTGACTGGTGAACTGTGAGTTTAACACAACGTTGGTGCCACACTCGTGATTTTAAATCACAGTACAGGCTGTGGCTACACTCTTTACTGCATAGTCTTCCACCACCCAACACAATAGTGAAGTTATTTCTGTAAGGGCTGTTTAGGTGCTATCACAGATGGTTAGAAGGATTAGCCCTACCTTCTGTAGAGTGGACGGGAAGCATTTTGCTTCAATGCAGGCAGAATTTCACTGTATTTCACCTTACAAAGGCAAAATTCCACCTGATGTACCGAAGTTGCAATTCACATTTAAAAGCCTCAGGGTCAGGGAGCAAAAACTACAGCTCCTTCTGACTGATACAATTTTAGCACTTGTGCAAATGAAGCCATCAGTTAAATAAGCAATGCAATGTATGAACAAGAGCAAACTTTGCTCTGAAAAGGACCAAACACACACCTGATGTTTTTATTTAGTGATAAATGGGTATATGGACAGCTACTCAGAATCACTGTTTTCTACACATTCATATGCAGACAGAGTAGAGAGCTCTTGCTCTATTTAGGCTATGTCTACACTAACAAGAAATTGGGTGACTCAGGAGCGAACAGGAGTTCAGAGCAGGTGATGAGGAGAACACCACATATACTACATGTGCAGTCCAGAGGCTTCACTTTGGACTAGATACAGATACTCAGCTGCCTCTCCCTCCCTAAGCATCCCCACTGTGAGTACTTGGAATGTCTCCAGCGGATCCATGGCAGGTGCAGACTGTAACATCCCCTCTAGTGGCAGGAACATAGAAACCCAGAGCAGATTTGTATGTCAAAAGTGGAATTAGCAGATTCACTCCAAACCTGCCTTACAGCTTCAAACCAGAACACTAACAGAGAAGGTTCAAACACTCAGCTATTTTGCGCAGAAGGCCCTCTCAGTTCAACGAGAAGAAACTGAAATATAAACTACAAGGTATCTTACCAGAATCCCTTTTAATTCTTTCATTGCACTTTCAGAGGGCTTTGGTGTTTCTGGCTGTAAACAAACAGAACATGTGCATGTTAAAAACCATGTGAAATGGTGTGTACAGACTGTACTTGAAGACAGGCATGGCATGAGGATCTGCTGCACAGGCATGCAGTTGTGTTATGCTCCTCTGCTCTCTCCTCTCACGGGCACATGGCTAACATCCAAAATACTATCTTATATGGATGGTGGGAAGAGTCTTGGCAGGCCGTGAGTCACAATCTACACATAAAGATTATGCTTCTGTGAAGATGATAAGCAATATTTTATAGTAGCCACATTCAGGTGTTAGTCTTAAGTGTTGTGTAAAAGGAATAATACTGCTAAATACAGTCTACTTCCTGATCACCCCCTTTACCCAATTCAGTTATTCTCTCTGCTTTTTGTTTCTCGGTACCCGCTTGCTTTCAGTTCCTTTCTGTGTCAAAGAAACTGGGCTTCTCTTTACTTACTGCTGGCTTCACTTCTTCTGTTCTTCTAGATACATGCTGCTTTAGTTAATTTTGCTCAAAATCAAGGGAGGCAAATGTATTCGTTTGACTGTTTTACAGAAAGCCTGATTTATTATGAGTGTAAATTACTGTACTTAGCTAATACTACTGCTTTGCAGTTTATTCCAAACCTTTGTTTTAGGCCTGCTTGACTGGTTGACTGGTCTCAGATGAACTCCCTTTTTAATTCTGTCCATCATTTCTTCAACAGCTTGTCTCTTCAGATCCGTAACTTCTTCACCTGCTTCAAAAATCAAAGAAGAGGATTATCACATTCCAGATATGAACCACAGAGAAACAGCACAAACTAAAAAACGTGTCAAAAGCCTCCCAAACAGCTTGCTTGCCATATACAGCCAGTTACCATAATCATAAATTAGTTTAAATGATGAAACAGCATTTATATACACAATGTACTTAGTTATACTCGGTGCAGTAGGTCTTCCTGCCTGTATGTGTGATATACAGTCAAGGTCAGGTTGGACACTGGGGCTTGGAGCAACCTGCTCTAGTGGAAGGTGTCCCTGCCTGTGGCAGGAGATTGGAACTGGATGAGCTTTAAGGCCCCTTCCAACCCAAACCAGTCTGGGATTCTATATGGTGGCAGCAACAAGCAACCTCATCTCTAGTTATCAGGAATTCTAGTCCCTGGACACAGCGTTATCAGTGATCTTTGTTATCAGCTAAATTGTCATAAGCTCTTCAAGGATAAAATGCCAATCTACACACATTGAGGCTCATGCCTGTGACTTCACAAACACCAAACCACATTGTCTGCAGAAGGTGGGACAGAAACAGGGCCCACATCCCGAAAAACGCAAAGCTCCTATGACTGGGGATTGCACAAGCTCAGTGCTATTGGCTGAAGCACCAAAGATTGAAGAACATGACCCCACTTTCACTGTGCCTCAGGAGAAATCTCCCCAGCTTCACTGATACGGGGACAAGCTGATGATGCCTCATGCTGAGGCCTTTACGCAGCCCATCACAAGATGACCAAACATGTCTCTTATCTCTCATGGGTTCAAGAACCTTGCTGAAACAATTCCCAGTTGAACTAAACCCACACATTTAAAGAACACTGCACCAAGTTAAAGGGCAAAACCTAAATACCATGAAAGGTTCAGATGAAACAGGAAGCTGCGTGATGAACCTAAACAATACCTGTTAACTTCTCAGTGTTCTGGGTAACATAACAAAAGACACTTAACATGCCAAAAGGCGGGTTGGTGGGGGGGGAAAGAATACTTAAAGCAGATACATGGAGAAATAGGGTTGACACTATTCAGAGCTGCAACGTTGTACCTTATGTAAGAGGAATTTTAAATAGACTTTCCCTCGCTCACTTGTCAGGGTACTATTGATGATTCATAGAAATGCAGTTTCTGTATTCTAAGGTAATTTCATGTCAGGCTTTAATTTCACAAACAGGCTGTTTCAAATACAAAAGCTTAATTGGTGGTATGGGATAGAAACCACTCATTCTAAGTCCTTAACAAGGGTCAAAACAAGCTTCAAGTCAGATATAATAACTAGATCAAGAAAGAACTTTCCCTCTTTTTTTATCTTTATTTTAAGAACAGCTCAACTATTAAGAGAAAAAGCAGTTTAGATGTGATTGAAGAAAGGTCAGAACTGTTAAAGTTTGCTAATAAATAATGAAAGAATGGGGTCTAGAGAATTTCATAGCATTTCCTGCAATCACTGTTTGTAACAGCCTCAACAAAGAGGTGCAATCAAAACACTAAAGATGCTCCAAGAAAAGGAAACCTGGCAAATGAAGGCAACAGAACTGAACTTAGAGAGATTAGACTGACTCTTCATCAGAGATCTCGGTACAAGTTCACTTCTCCAATTATTTCACCCAGACCAACAACCTTACTTCTCTCAGCCTGGGAACCAGGTCCCAAAGTTTCCCCAAGGGACCTGCCCAAGTCACTCCATTCCTCAGCGAGATGAGAACTGAGGAATTCTGCCTGTTGGTCCCTCCACCAATCCGGCCATGCCTGCATACCATTACAGTCTGCTAACAGCAATTTTTTCTCTAACAGTTACATCCTACACCTGTAATTTCAGCAGGTTCCCTTCTGCAGCCCCCTTCTTTGTTTAAGTGGCAGCAAATGAGTTAAGCAATTCACTACAAACAAACTCCTGCTGTTTCAGAAGCAAGAGAGAAACAGCAAGAAAAGCTTTGTTTATTTAACTGGCAATGCTTGTCTAACTAGCTCCGACTCTTCAGGCACTCATGAGCATTTGTAAATCTCTACTTAACTCCTGTACTCAACGTACTAAGTTTCCAGCTTCCATTAAGAACAATAAAAAGCAATTTCAGCATGCAGAGCCACCTCAGTGCAAGATTCTGTTTTGTTTTAGGCTTCCAGTATTATTAAAGGATTACCATTACAGTCAACTCTGAAAGGGGATTTTGCAAGATATGAACTGGGGGATGAAAATTGAAGCATTTAACAAATTAGCTCTGTGGAGAGGCTCTGGACAGAAAGAAATCACAAAGAATCTTCCCTGCATTATACTGTATATAACCTGCTCCCTGCTTAATGCTTGTTGGTTTGTTCTTCTGCCTCTTCCAGCCAGCCTGTGGAAGTGCAAAGCCCTGTACACACTGTAGCTGCAGCCACATGCTGTAGTGTCTCCAAATTAGAGGCACAGGCTGAGTCTCTCAATGCTACAGTGCAACTACTACTGGCAATACCAAACTGCCAGGGTACCACTCACCAAGCTGCACAGCGTCAGTGTAACAGCCTGGGGTGTAAACTGAACCATCCTGTTCTCCCCATCCATCTCTCCCAGCACATCACCATACCCAACAGAGCACTTATCTTGTCAGGGCCTTCTGTGAGCCTGTGAGAAACACAACCATCCTCTCCCTAAGGGAAAAAAAGGTGGGTTTTCTTCTGCCACATCAGCAAATGAAATCAGCTCAGTGACAGATCTGATAAACATCAGAGCCAGAAGCAGGAAGATCGGGATATTTCTTCACTTACAGCAAGTGCTGGGTCTTCCCTTCAGGTTTTTGATCTGCAGCCTCACAGACTGTTCATACCAAAATCCATTTGGAAAAAGCAAATTGGATGCTGATCACCTTGTGGAGGCACAGACAAAAGGCTACACGAATTTGCTTGGGATCTCAAGGAGGCTTGAGGTAGAATAGCACAGACTATTTCAGTTGGAAGGGACCTGCAGTGATCACCTAGTCCAACTGCCTGACCACTTCATGGCTGACCAAAAGTTAAAGCATGTTATTAAGGGCATTGTCCAACAGCGACAGATGGGGGCACCAACCACCTCTGGGAAGCCTGTTCCAGTGCTTGACCACCCTCTCAGTAAAGGAATGCTTCCTAATGTCCAGTCTGAACCTCCCCTGGTGCAGCTTTGAATCATTCCTACACATCCTCTCACTGGATACCAGGGAGAAGAGACCTCCTTCTCCACGTCCCTGCCTTGGGAAGCTGTAGAGAGCAATGAGATTGCCTCTCAGCCTCCTTTCATCCAAACTAGGCAACTCCAGAGAGACCAAAGCTTCAGTGCCAGATACCACTTCCTATCTCAGAGCATGTATACCTGGGCTGCAGTCACACTTCTGGACTGCAAGGTAGACGAATATGCTGGGACATGGACAGGAGTAGTTAAGGCAGACAATTCTAAGCATTCTATCTGTACCCACAGCTCATTTTCAAGAGCTTTATCTGCAGTACCCAGTGAATAATGCACATGACTTGAGATGAGCCATACCAGACTCCTGCTGAGGAGGTTTCTCCTTCTTGCTCACGTTGGTGTTGGAGTGAGATCTCTTGCGAATCATTGACATGAGAGACCTGTGGGGGAAATGAAACTGCAGATTGTCATTCTGTCCTGTGTTACACGCTGTCAGAACGAACTTGAACATGACACGCAAACAGCTTGCTTATACCTGATTATACAGCTGCTTACAAAAGACTCATTTAACAGTTCTTGAATGCAGATGTATGTACTGAATTACCCCCCACAATGCCTCCCATCAAAATGCACCAGAGAAATTTACTTCTTTTTAGCAGACATTAGGCACAAATCAAAACACTCCAGATTTGAATATTAAAAGACAGTGTCTCATTGTGACGCATGACAAATTGAACCTGCTCCGGCAAAATAAAAGGGAAGAAGAGCTGTAGATATTGAAGTATTATTCTCCAGAGGACACTTAAATAAGGTGATCAGTATCTCCTCACCAACTCCAAGTTTGCAATCTTCTTACAGTGTCAAATAATTATCCCTTCACTGTAGTCAAAACGTAGAAGTCCAGGCAAGGGAATGATTCATCTCAAAGCCCAAGTACGCACATAAACTCACAGTGTGTGAAGGAAATGCTCTGATTTAGCTACTACGGGGCTTAAAATGAATAGTGTTATCTGTTCCAAATAGTAAAGGGCACAAACTTAACCAAAACAGAAACAGAAGAACACCATACCCCCTCACAGTTAATTCACCATTAGTGAAAAAGAAGCAGGAAGCCAAATGAGTGAATGGACCTAAAAAGAGCAAAAGCCCAAATACAACTGTTCAGAACACGTTTAGTTTAGATTTCTAAAAGCAAAGCAAGATGTACAAAGGGATGAACTCTCCCTACTGATCATCTTCATGATCATCATGGTTTACAAGACTCCTGTATGTAATTGCAGTTACAGAAGGTTAGAAAGTTCATTTACGTTTAAAACCAAGCAGGTAACATGAAGATTAGCTGAGTTCCTAAAATTAACTAAGCCTAAAGCATACTTCAGGGCTTAGTTAATTCATTTGGGTCTAATGCCTGATACAGGATATATTGGGCAGCCTCTTTTATGGTCCTTTGCAAAAAACCAGGCTTAATTTTGATAATTTCACCCCAAACTGCTTGATGATGGGGTGGTGATTTTACGTGGGGTGTTAACTTAGGAAAGCAATTGTGGGGACTCAATGGAGTCTGCATTTTCATACGAGTAGCCGACAGGAAGGGACACACAGTAATCCAACATATCCTTTGGTTCAAAGGGGTTTTCTTAGCAGTGGATTCAGACAAGCATTTCACAAGTCTATAATTACAGCTATCAGGTGAATAGAACAAATATAACCTCCTAAATTTAGAGGAGACAGGTATCCCTCCTCCTCCAACTCACAGTCTAGACCATTTGTTAGATTTGGCAAGGTAGGCACTGTTCAGAACTGGTCAGGGTGTTAGTCTGTTGGCAGGTGGAGCACAGAGTGTGTCCTGCTGGTAAAGAGCCCAGGACAGGTGGAGAAAGCCTTTTTTTCTTTAAAGACACTCTTCCTGCTTGGATACAAGCTCATGTAATGTGTTCTGCTTCAGCAAGGCATTGATGCTGTAACCCTTATTTAAGCACTTACCGTATAGGGTTAGGAGGAGGGGGAGGAGGAAGAGGAGGAGGTGGTGGTGGTGGAGGAGGTGGTGCAGGATTTTCTGACTGCTGAACTCGTTTTTGAAGCTCATCAACTGCACAAGAGCAATAAAACAAACTAGAGTGAGTTCTGGCTTCTCACATCTGCTCTACACCCCAACTCTGAGGCTGTAAGCAAAAAAGCTACTAATTAACTGAAAAACAAACAAGACTAAATAAACCACAACACCTCAGAAGCCCTATTTGTGACAACGTTTTCTACCAAGAACAATGTTTTAGGCACACAGGATTCTCATTAAACCTGTTACCTCCAACCTGAGTTACTTTTGAAACTAAAATGACACTGCCTTGTACAGGATTCTTCTTGTAAAATGATAGAGCAGGAGATTTTATCACATTCCTGTGATGGTCTGTTTGAGGTTGCAATTGAAAATGAATAATGGAATTCCAGACTGGTTTGAGTTGGAAGGGACCTGAAAGCTCATCCAGTTCCAACCCCTGCCACGAGCAGGGACACCTACCACTAAAGCAGGTTGCTCCAAGCCCCTGTGTCCAACCTGGCCTTGAACACTGCCAGGGATGGGGCAGCCACAGCTTCTCTGGGCAACCTGAACTAAAAAAAGCCAACAATAATAATGAACTAACAAGAGGTGGAAGAAATAAACAATTTCAGCCTCCAGACTTATCTCTGTCTCGCTGATGGTATGGGTTTGCCCCATAAAAATAGTCAAAACTGGGCAGTGGGCAGAATGGATTCTTTCTCTTCTGTTTTCCTGTCAGATTTAAAATGTGGAAATTACTTTTCTACACTTGGAATGTTTTCAAACACAATTAATTGAGGAAGGGCAGAAACAGAGGGGAAAAAAGTTAAATTTCTTTTAGTTACAAAAATTCTTAGCAATTGTTCTGAATACAGTAGGAATGAGGGCAGAATGACAGAACATGATTTCCAATCTTGTAGAATCCATCTTGTAATGTTGAATTCTAATTAAAATGACAATCTTTAACATTCACTTTTAAATTTTAAAAGGAAAAAAACCCAACCATTGGAGTCACTTTAAACTCCAGGTACAATCTTTATGCTGATAAATCCCTTTTGAAGAACAAAGAAGCCTGGAAGGAAAGAACCTGTTGTGAAGGTCAGATCTTTTCCAAGGCAGCTGAGAAGAACTCATATGTTGCCCAGGCACATTTTTAAGGCTGGGTAATGTCAAACTCTAACACAAAGCAGTTCTCCGAAGCAAGACTGCAAGCAGCTTAAAGATAATCCTGCTCTTGAGGATCTGTTTCAGAAAAGCATGGCTATATGTGGAGTCTTAGCTAAGGATATGGACTCTGGCCTCCTCTGACAGCGGCTCAAATGCTTCTCTGAGCCAGGTATCATATTTAAAACTAGCACCTGCTTAGGCCTTGAGCTGAACAAGGACTGAAAGCAAAGGCACAATCAAATACTTAACAGCCATAGCCCTGCATTCCCTATAGTGAGACCACACACACCAGGACCCTTTTTAAACCCAATTTTTATCTAAAGAGCATCAGGTCCAAAATTTCCTCATTCAATAGACAGGACACTGCAGATAAGCCAGGCACCATCCTTGTAGCAGTAAGTGTATGAACATCTGCACTGCCACAGTTCTCCCCTCCCAAATACTCCATTAATCTTTTCTCCCTGTATTCTTTGGGCAGAGACAGACACACACAGTAGCTAGCAAGACTGTTTTCTTGCCTTTCAGTCATTTGATATGGAACAAAATATTTGACTATAAGTAAGAGATTTAGATGTATCAATTCGTATGGGTATGGGCCATAAAAGCCCACTGGATTTGTTTGGCTAACTCCCTTTGTAAAGTTCTGAAGGCAGCATTTACCTTTTAAATGTGTTTAAAAACAAAGAAAGAAAAGAAACACCCCCAAGGCCCTCTCACATCAGCAGAAGTTGTTTTCTCACGTGTCAATATGAAGGGCTAAATCGTGTTGTTATTTTCACTAGTGTCTTCCACTCTAAAACTATTAAATGGTTGGGCTGTTTGGTAATTATGTGCTGGTTTTTTTACAATTCATACAATGTAGACTCCACAGTCTGTTTATTTGGGGTTTTATTTATTTTTAAAACTAGGTAAGAAGATTTCAACTGAATACGAAGGATTGTGTTTTTACACAGAAACCCATTCACATGTACAAATCCATCTGTAAGACTCAGGGCAATCTAACAACAGTATTTTTACAGCTTACAGGAGTTTTACAGGGTTATTCTTTCACACACATTCTGGACACGGCTGTTCTGCGGTGGAAGGCAGCTGCTGTACTTTGCCTTGTGAAGCACAGGTCTGGATCTCAGCTACACAAAAGCTTCTGGGGTCTCAAACATACCATGTGATTCTATTAGGCATGCACCACTCACACCTCTGGATCTGTACCTCCAGAATGAAAGTCATTAGATGATATTACCTGAATGCTTTAGGTCTCTAGCTTTTTCTTCTGAGTGCTGACACTTGAGCTCTAGCTCCTTTTTATCTTCTTCCAAAAGTTCTAGTTGCTGTTTAAGACGACTGATCTCCTTATGCAGAGCTTGATTCTCTAGCTGCTCTTCCAATTCTTTGATCTGCAGTTGGCAAACAACAGCATTCATTACAATAAAAGGTACTTTTTGTCCTTCCTTTTGATAAATAACCCATTAGACAAAGTTATTTCCTGAAAACATGATGTTACATATAGGAGTGAACTACAAGTCCCAGAAAGGGAACATTTTTTGAATGGGAGCTGGACAGATTTTCCTGAGAGATGTCAGAACTTTCTATTATGATCCCAACTTATTTCATTTCTTCTTTAGAACACATCTTTAGCTCCAAAGTACTTAAGCTATAAGATGTTCCCTTTTACTTTTTATAGAGTTTTTATCACATACTTAATTTCAGAACGTTTCTTCATTTGGAGCACGAGAACACTGACATTTTTGTTCTACTGACTGCTTCTGACAGGTTGGTTATTTAAAGTCCCTTGTCTCAACTCATGCAGATGCCAGTGGGTGAATTACAGAACATCCAGTTTAAAGGCAGCATTCAGGTGCAGAGTATCAGTCACTTCCCAAGTCCCTAGACATATACATTTTGCTCTACACTTCAAGTAGCCAAAGATGCAGAGGTTTTTTGTGAATTGGCAATTATTCTTCCAAAACACTCACTCAGAAGCATGTGAGGTTACACACAGTCTTAGTATTGCTCCACTGATGAAAGCCCAGGAACTGTTTACCTATTCCCTGCATTACTCTGTTACCAGAGCTTTAAGAACAGGCCTCACAGCTAAGGGAAAACTCGTTTTCAGGCTTTCGAGTGGAGCAATGGTGATTTCTCCCAGATAGAAATTGATTTAGTCCAGTTTCAAAGAATATATTTGATTAGATACTAGTTCTTTAAATCCTATAATACCACTTTGCAGCATTCACCTAACATCTCCCTGCCCCAGTTTGTCTGGCTCTTCCCCTGCATTTCTTTAGCAAGTGACCAGACTAGTACTACAGTGAACTGCTTGCCTCTCACCTCCTTGTCTGCCTCTCATCTCCTTGTCTGCTTGGCTTAACCCCCCAAAATACCTTTAATGCCCAAAATACTCTCCTGTCATCTCTTCTTCACTTAATGCAACTTGACTTTATGCCTGTAATTGCACTTTACTGGCATCCAGAGTAAAACACTAACCTAAACCAGAGCCTTCAGCCTGAAAAACCTTCAGGTTTTATACTCACGTCTTACCAGTTACCCAGAAAAGGGAATCATAATCTTCTCTGAAGTTTAGTTTTTAGATGGTGAACTCTTACGGGGTACAAGATATCAAATAAATAAGAACATAACACTCACACTCCTTACACAACACATACACAATACTCCTTACGTTCGGGAGGCTTTCAAAGACTTCTGCATGACATGTTTTACCTTTTGTTGGTGTTGAAGCCTCTCTTCTTCTAATGTGTGGGTTAGCTTAGCATTGTCATCCAAAGCCTTCAGAAGCTGTTGATCAGGAGCAGAACTCTGCAGAAGCAATTGACTTTGCCTTTTCATCTTGTTTTGTTCAATAAACATCTGCCAAAACAAAACCCACCCCCACAAAAGCGATAGTTAAACACATTTTAATGCTATCCTGGGGAAAATGGCAATTGGAAAGAAAATGAATAAATTCACATGGTGTTATTAGGGTTGGGAGAGTGAGGAAGAAGGTAGGAAGGAAGGGGAAAGGATGTTTGAGAGTAAAATTTACAACAGCTAAGCTCACACTGAAAGGAACTGGGTGTTTGCACCACCCAGTGCTACATCTCAATTACCCACACGCTGGCAGCATTCAGAATTTAAACATATCTCTGGAAATAAGAACAACCTGATCCCTATTCTGGGAGCTCTAGAGAGATTAAAAGAACTCCAGGTGGAGGAAAAAACGGCTATGAATTCACCTTCTCAAGCACACCTGCAAGCCTTGGCATAAAGCCCACTTATTTGAGGGTTACCTGGATATGGGAATGATGGAGAGTCTTTGGGAGATTAACTTCAGTCCATCTTTGTGAAATCAGTGTATGCACATGCCCCAGGAAAAGACATTTCAGGGCACTTTCAGCCTTTTAGTTCTGATCCTTGTGTTCTTTCCTCTTCCTCAGTTACATTTTTGATGTGGAGAATGGATCCACTGAGGGGGGTGTCAAATAGTCAAAATTCCTAGTGAATTTATTCTGCATCTTGACATCTCCTTCAGGTAGAGGGCTGGCCCCCAGGCAATAGGGATTTCCACTCCTGACAAACTCAGCTGTGCCTGTTCTTACAGAACAAACAGGGACTGGGTCATGCTGAGGTTTCAGATGAGTGTGCACAGGTCAGCAAAGCACACCACTTACGGCAGGAGAACAGGGAACAGCCTGAGAATGCAGACACTCCCTCAGACTGTAAAAACACTGTTGCACAGCACAGCAAAAGCAAGAAGATATTGTGAGAATGGAGTATCAGAAATACAGGAGTTCCATGTGATCTCTTCAGGTCCCCATACTATTTATTCACAAACCAAAGTTATCGATAGAACATATTTCTTCCCATCCAGTGCTACTGCAGTGGTATGTGACTTATCTTTTTAATACAATTGGATTTTAAAGAAACATCAGCTGATGCAGATCTGGGGCAAGCATTCCACCCAGAGCCCTGCACGGACACTTCAACTGAGGCTTCTTAGCAAGCAGCTCTCTCTAGCTGTCCACGCAGACCGAGAAGCCTGCTGACTGTGCTGAACTTCTAACTCACAAGGCAGCCAGAATGACCCTGTGTGCCACGAAGCATCAGTTGATGCAGTCCTAACACTAATAAAACCTGCAGTGAACACTTCACTGGGCAAAGCTGTGCCACGGGGGTAGGCAATAAAGGACTGGAGTAGTTGATGAAGAGGAAACGATGAATACAGGCTCCAGTACTACACTTTGTTGTAAAACAAACAGAAACAAATACAGGCCACTGTGGCGTAGTGCAAATGTGCACTGGACATCAGCCTCCTGTCCCAGCATTACTCCTGGGGAGATTCTGACTGGACACAAGAGAAGAATTTCTCACAATGAGATAAATGAACCATTGGAATAGCTCCCCAGGGAAGTGGTGAATTCCCTGACATTGGACACTTCTAAGATTCAGCTGGACAGGGTGCTGGGACATCCAGTCTAGGTCATGCTTTGCCTAGAAAGGTTGGACCAGATGATCCTTCAGGTCCTTTCCAACCTGGTATTCCATGATTCTGTTAAATTCTGCCAGTCAAGCCAATTGTGCTTGTGTTACCTTACACTAGTAGTGCTGTGGCAAAAATAACTTAAAGGCAAGAGAGATTCAGAATCAAAACTACCCACCCCAACCCATAAAGGTTTGCCTTTGCACTGCAAGTTATCTGTTTAACATTTTATCTTCTTCAAAGAAACAGCATCTTTTCAAAAGGTCTCTAAATCACTACTAGAGAACTCAATACTGTCTCAAAGCCTCCTGCTTTCCTGTTAAGTCAGTCAAAAGTTACTTCACCCTGACAGAAACAACATCTCTCTAGAGCCACCTTTAGCAAACACCACAGTCCATCTACTGTGAACTTGCAAAGCAAAGCGAAAACGTGGGTTTAATTTTTTTTTGGAATCTGACAGTTTGAAGTGATTTTTCCAGATTTTTGTTCCCTGTGTTTCTGCTGCTGACCCCAACAGAACAGAGTTGTTGCAGCCTGAGGGAGCAGAACGCTGCCAAAACAAGAAGAAATCAAGTAGCGCAACTTGATTTCTTCAACTGGAGCAGATACTTCACCAAATGTAGAAAATTCATATTCACTTTGCTTCACGCTCTTCTGCAACAAAATAAGAAGATCCTTTTGAAGATCTGGGTGAAAAGCTTTTCATCCAGAAGTTTGCACATGAAGTCCTGCATTTTCTATTCACTTCATAACTTGCTTTCATGATATTGCAAAT